AAATTACTTGGAATCTCTCCAAGAACCCTGAAGAAAACTGAAAATAAGCATCTGAAATGTCACCACGAAATCCAGGTGTACTAGCTCACATGTGCTCCTCTGAGGAGAGCCCTGTAGGCATTCATGCAGGGCCTGCTGGTTCTGCTGATTTTATATATAATTCTAGCACTGGCAGGAGGACCAGTTAGATGGAGGTTGTTTTCCACCTTTGCGACATTGTTTACAGGTTCCTTAACTCCTCAAGCCTTCAGGGTCCCATCTGTAGCATGGAAGCAGTGATCCCAGCTCACAGTGCTACCACATATGCAAAAGTGCTTGGCTCACAGCAGGGCCTTGGTACAGGGTCTTGGCCAGATAAAGACACAGAAGTGTTGACAGCAGATGGAAATGGTAATTGTCAGAAAGAAAACAATTACAGACAGCAGAGTTGCAGTGGTTTAGTGTGAAGGCAACAAGCTCTTCTCCAAGGGCCCGGAGCTTCTAGAAAGAGATTGAGTTGTGTCCACTGACCCTACAGTCAAGGCTACTCCAAGGCACTAAGAATGGATGAAACCAGGTGCTGGGGATGTGGCTCGGTGGTTGAGAACTTGCCTACCATGTGTGAGGCTCTGGGATCTGTTCCCAGAGCCAACAATAAACAAAATAAAATAAACAAAAAGAATGATATCAGATTCCACTCACCAAGCTTAAAAATAGAGATGAATGTAAACCATATCTGAGGGTTAAAAGACTTAAAAACTAAAAGTACTTTCATGCCTTTTAACTTGAAAGGTATGAGACTTGGTTATGTGCAGGGCTGTCTTATGCAGGGTGGTTTATCATATGTTGATGTTACCAGGTAGCTGAAGCTTTTATTTATTTATTTTCGCAGTACTAGGGGTTGAACCTATGGGTGTTCAATCACTGAACTACATCCCTGGTTTTTTTTTGGGGGGCGAAACAGGGCCTCACTAAGTTGCCCAAGCTGGCCTTGAACTTGTGATCCTCTTGCCTCAGCCTCCCAAGTCACCAGGAGTACAGGTATACACTACTGTGTGGCCTAGGTGAAGCACTTTTATAGATTGCTTCTACTCTTGCTCATAAGAATGATAGTCATTTGTATTTTTCTAGCTGCAGAATGTACCCACAAATAAATAATCCTCATCAGAAAGTATAAGACAACCAAGAAAGAGAGATAAAGGATGTAGACTAAATGAATACTCTAAGGACAAGATAGGACATTAACTGGCACCATGAAGATACCTACTGTGAGCCAGGCACTATGCTGAGTGCTTACACACTTTGACTTGGTTCTCCCACCCATTCGGGGAGATAAGTATAGTTCCACTTATTTATTGGGCATCTACTACTATAGATACAGTAACAAGGCATATGCTTCCTGCCTCCAGGGAGATATGGATGACTCCATTTTACAGAGGACACAACTGAGGCTCACTGAGGTGCATGCTCTGTTCTAGAGACTTGCTAACAAAGTCTTTACCAATACTTACCTTATGTTCATCCTCACGAGGATCCCAGATGTGAGTGCTTTATCATCCCCATTTTATGGGTGAGGCCATGGAGATTCAAGATCACAAAGTCAGGAACTCTGGTCCTGCATGGCCTTCATCAAATGCTATATCACCTCTAAGGTGGCACCTGTTTACCATGCCCAGCGGGAGCCCCTATGTATGCCTTGGGATCTGTACGATTTCTCAAAAACACAAGATAAAGAAATGTATCGGCCAAGGGACTCTTCCCTCAGCCACTGGATTCTGGAAAAGCCTGACTAGGAGGGTAAAACCGAAAACTAGGACCTTCACTTTCACCAAAAAAAGTGCTCTAGAATAACCCTGCAGACTCGCTTACTCTTAGTTGTCACAGTGGTAAGGAGAGAAGAAACAGTACCTTTTGGAGTTCTTCAATTTCAACTTCATAAGTTGCTGAAATAAACATAAAAAATTATCTCAGGTCAGTTTGCCCACCCATTTCTTATAGTACTCATGATGAAGAGCAATGACGCAAGATGGCAAAGTTCAGTTTTACCAACCTTCAGAGCATCGATCTATATGAGGCTCTGTCTACACAGTTTGGGAAATTCTAGAGTCACTGATCATGGTTTTAATTTCTGTGGGAATTTCTAACATGGAATTTATAGTTGATAAAAGCATACAAAACCACTGTTTCTTGGTTTACTAAATAGATATATACTCCATGCATAAGAGAAAGCACTGAGATTTAGAGGCAGTACTTTAGAAGGCAAACTTGAAAGAAAAAAGGGCCTAAATGCCACTTTGACAAAATGAACTCATATCATGTCCCAAAGTGGACTATTTCTGAAACACTGCTTGAAGAGGAGCCTGCCAATTAAGGCTCAAATATCTTTTGGTTTTTCTGACACTTCTTTGGATTTCTGTAAATGACACTTAATAATTGTATTAACAAATATAAGTAATGACAAGAATTTGGGTTCAAATTCAGTCCTGCCACTTCCTACCTGGGGGATTTCAGACAAATTACTTCATTTCTTTGAGCCTTACCTTGTCCATCTGTGAAACTGGGCAAACTGGTACCAAGTTCATGAAGAAATTAAAGGGGATGATATTAGATGTCACATATTTGTTGGACCTTCGGGGTTTTTTTAAAAAGTGACGTGTTTTTTCACAAAATTGCTTATTTGAGGATTTTTAGTTTTGTTTTGCTTAGAAGTTATTTATGCAAGTTCTCCCTTTGCTATTAAAGAATATGTGTGTGACAAGCAGGACTTCTGTTTCATTTCTTTCTTGCTGCTAGAATCCTAAACTGACCAAACAACATGTTGTATTTCTAAGCTTTCATTTTTGCAAACACACAATTCATAATGCAATTAATGGAATCCCAAGTTTTCCTTAGGAATTGTCAGCACATGATTCTTGTCACACTGACCTAAAATTCTGCAAGAATAATTAGTAATATGTACTTCATATTGGGTACACTTTAATTTCCACTGATTTTTAAATGAAAAAAAATTCTATTCTGTCACTCCTCAATTTAAAAATTTAAACTATTAATATTTTCAAAAAATATCTTCTTGCTGGGTTGGGATTGTGGTGGGGTGGCAGAGTGCTTGTTTCATACATATGAAGCACTGGGTTCTGTCCTCAGCACCACATAAAAATAAGTAAATAAAATAAAGGTATTGTGTCCATCTACAACTAAAAAAAAATATTTAAAAAAATCTCCTTGCCAGGCACAATGGTACACACCTGTAATCTCAGGAGCTTGGGAGACTGAGGCTGGAGGACTGCAAGTTCAAAGCCAGCATCAGACACTTAGTGAGGCCCTATCTTAAATAAATAAGGCTGGGATATGGCTCAATGTTCAGAGTGCCCCTGGGTTCAATTCCTAGGTACCAAAAAAAAAAAAAAAAAAGTCTCCTTACAATACAGTTTGCCCCATATCTTTTCCTAGTATGGATTTGGTCTACAAATTAAAAAAAATGATAATCTCCTTCAATTTATTTATCTGTTTTTTTTTAAGAACAAATTGTGATTTCATTTGCTTTCCCTAGCTACCTGGAGGGTAGAAAATACTATTTATTCTGCTTTAGGAACCATGAAACCAAGGCTCAGAGACACCTTAATTGCTATGTCTAGTAAAGAGAGATAATACACATTCTCTTGAAAACATATTCATGATGTTAAGTATTTTAACCAAGTGGGGACTCTTCAATGGTACGTTATACAATACAAACCTACTTCAAGGTACAAAAAGGCTGTATCCAAGGGGTCAGGAAAGAACTAGGAGATTTAACAAGGGGATGTGACCCAAGCCCAGTCCTGGCTCGCTCTGTACTGAGTTATAGAACTTTCTCTCCATAGAATAGCTTTGCCTTGACTGGCAGAGGAAGGGCAAAAGTCAGAAGAGGGTCCTCAGCCACCCTCCATCTACTAATGTCACAACATGGTCATGTCTGAGAGGCCCACAGCTAATTCTACATGCACTAACTCCCTGTGTGACCTTGGAAAAGTCCCTTCACCTCTGTTAGACCAGTAGATGAGATGACTCTTTCTAATATTACAAAAACAATAATAAAAAGTAGCTATCATTTGTATGCATATAGCTAGCAGGCACTATGCTAAGTATTTAAATGCACTATTCCATTGAACTCTTATGACAATTCCTTTACTGATGGAGGAACCCACAGGGAAGTAAAATAACTTGCCCCAGGTCACTCAATTGGGAAATGACTTAACTTTCCTCTAATCATGGATTTGTTTATTTAAATGGACTATTACTCAGGAATATAATCAGAACTTCATCATTTGAAGGAATCTCTGGGGTCTCAGAAGCACAGTCCAGAAAGCAGTGGCCCAGGTGACCTCTGAGGACAATTCTGTAGAGTTTCCAGAACAACAAGAAGCCAGTACATCAGAGGCTGAGTTCTGTAAGGATGGGTAAGACTCACAAAGGCCCTGCGCAGGGCTGAGCTCAGTGGTGATAGTAAAAACCAAACACCTCATCCTCTCCTGCTATTTAAAGATATCATTTAGATTCCTCATCTTCCTTGATGGACAAGGCAAGGAAGAAAGATTCATTGTCATTTAACTTTTGGATAAGGTGTGAAAATTAGCTCAAGGGTTTAGGTTTGTTTTGTTTTTGTTTTAATCTATGGATATTCTGTTGCTCCAACACTTTGTTCAAAGGCTTTCTTTCCACTGTTGAATTGCTTTAGCATCTTCATAAAGAAAACAATCAGGTGGGCATATTGGCATAGGTCTATTTCTGAGTTTCCATTGATTTCTATGTGTCTCCCTGCCAATGCCACCGTCATAATTACTGTAGCTATAAGTCTTGAAACTGGGTAGACTGATGTTTCCTAATCTTTCTTTTTCAAAACTGTTTTTAGGTGTTTCAGTTCCTTTGCTTTCCCATACGCATTTAAGAATAATCTTGTCTATTTCTACAAAACATCTTGCTGGGATTTTTATTGCAATTGCGTTAAACCTGTGTATCTCGAGGGGAGAATTGAAATTTTCTCTTGTCAATTTTACTGTATTGAGTCTTCTAATCCAAAAG